GGGGAAAGGAAAGAAGGGAAAAGAAAAAATATGAGAAAAGGAAAAAAATGGAAACAAAGTCTTTGCAAATAGGGAAGGGTGGAGGGGGTGAAGGGCGGGCAGGGCAAGGGGAAAAAATAAGAACCAAGATACTCATGTAAAGGTTCAAGATCCCAATGATGAATGTAACTATTTTATACCAAAAATGTACCAATAAACTTAATGGAAAAAAAAAGAAATAATGGGAGATATATTCAAGAACAAAGACTCAAGAAAAGAATCTTAATGACTTGGGAATAAGTTCAATGAACAACTTCAGTGAATTTTGCTGTCCACTACAGGGAACATGGTCCAGTCATTAAAATCATGCTTCAAAAGGACACTTGACAATATAGCAAAGGTTTATTCCATGTTGTTAAATGAGAAAATAAGAAGATAGGGAAGATGAATCAGCAGACCTTTTAGGGCAGTGAGAATTTTCTCTGTGATACTATAATGGTGAATATACTTCATTATGCGTTTGTCTAAATCTATAGAATGAACATGTACAAGATTGAGCCCTAACATAAGCTTCAGACTTTGTGTGATTTTGATGTGTGGAAGTAGCTTCATCAGTGGTGAAGGCAGGGCCGTGTTAATAATAGGGAGGTCTGTGTGTGTGTTGGGGCAGGGAACACATAAGAAATTTCTATGCTTTTCACTCAGTTTCCATGGTTTTGCAGTGCTGGGGCTCAAACCCACAACCTCATGCATGCTAAGCAAATGCTCTATCACTGAGCTACAGCCCTATCCCACCTTCCACTTAATTTTGCTGTGTACTTAAAACTGCCCTAGAATATAAAGTCTTTTTTTTAAAAAAAAAGGATTTCTCTTTACACATACACACACACAGACACACACACACGGCAAAATGATAGCATAAACTGTGATTCTTACCTCAATCCACCCTCTTCCTAGCTTAAAATACCCCTTCTCTTTAGTTTTATTAAGCTTTTTGCTTTCCCCAGGACATTTGCACATGTCGGGAAAAACTGACAATCTTTGAAATGGTAGGGTTGGGCAGAATGTGTGGATGTCCCAACTCTCTTACCTGTCCTGATTATTTCCATCTTTCATTTTCTCTGAGCTAGTTTTAAGTTCTGTATGTTGTAGATAACTGAGAGTGACATGAGTGATTATTTTCCATGTGCCAATAAATTCTGTCCAGTTGAGGGACAAATGGTCTTCATGCACTGTATTGGTCAGCTTTTTGTTGCTGTGACAAAATAACTGACACACACAACTTAAAGAAGGAAGGGTTTATTTTGGCTCACAGTTTCAGAGGCTTCAGTCCATAGTCAGCTGGCTTCAAGGCAGAAACAACATAGCAGAAGCACATGGTGTAAGAAAGCCACTCACCTCATGGAAGCCAGGAAACAGAGCATGGAGACCAGATGTAGCTCCCAAGGTTACATACATCCCCATGACCCCTGCCCCCACACACACCCAAAAGTGTGCTTTACTAATATTCTAGGCATCTCTCAAGTCAATCAAGTTGGCATTCAGGATAACCATTACACTCACCTAGTCTAGCATCTATTTATATATTAACTTTGGCAAGCATCAGGAACCTCTAATCGCTTCTCGGCCTGTTGGCTAAGATCAAGTGTAGGAACCTCTATAAATGTAGTAATTTAAATTCTCCTTTGAGTCAGTTATAACATCTTACTGGCTCCCTCATTAATTAATGAGTTAAATAAAATCTTTGACAGATGTTCCTCTTATTTTTGTATGAGAATCATAAATGACCTTTAAGACTAAAAGGAATAATAGATAATGTGAAATAGGAAGAAAAGGGGCAAAGGGGAAGGGGAAGTAGGAGGGGTAGAGGAAAGGGAAGAAGGGAATAGAATTAATATGAGAAAATGAAAAAATGGAAACAAAGTCTTTGTAAATAGGGAGGGATGGAGGGGTTGAAGGGAAGGCAGGAGAAGGGAGAAAAATAAGAACCAAGAGAGATTATGTAAAGGTTCAAATTTCCAGTGATGAATGTCATTATATTGTATACCTAAAATGTACCAATAAAAGAATTTAAGGAAAAAGAAATAAAAATAAATGACCTTTAAAAATATATTCTGGGGGGCTGGGGATTTAGCTCAGTGATTCTGGCGCCTGCCTTGCAAGCGCAAGGTCCCGAGTTCGTTCCCTGGTACCCCCTCAAAAAAATATATCCTTGAACACACACTGGCTGTTATATGGGCTTTTTCCAACACTTCCCTCTTCAATCCCTCTCTACCCCACAGGTGCCATCCTCAAAGGTGCCTCCTGCACCCTGACTCAGGTCCTCCACACCTTGTTCTCTCTCTGGTACAGTCCCTTCCTCCAGTGTACTTGTTACATCTTATAATTATATATTCTGCAAGCTTGGTCATGTCTGGGAGTCAAATTATCTGTGATTTCAATTTCTTTTCTTTATATTTTTCTTTATACATTTTCTGTAATGAATATGTATGCTTTCAGAATTTTAAAATGTTATCTTTAATAACTACTTACAAAAGGAAGAGAAAAGAACCACAATATTTGAGCTACCATTGGCCTCCTGTGTCTCCACGGCCACCTCCTTCCTCCAGCTACTGTAGCCCACCCAGGCTGCTCCTACACAGCGAGTACAGCGAGTACATTCTCTTCCGCACAGTTATTCTTGGTGAGTGTTCAGTAACCGCATCATGAGCACAAGTGCATGTGTGTATGTATGATAGGACCTAAGAGCTGTAGTTGTACTTCCTACTCTAGAGAAGTTTATGGCCCAACATGTGACACAGACATAAAAGGAGGGCTGGGAATGCAGCTCAGTGATAGAGCAGTGTGCTTAGCATGTAGGAGGCCCTGGGTTTTATTCCAGCACCAAAACAAAAAAAGAAAGAAAGAAAGAGAAAGGTTAATGACAACATGAGGTATTATTTAACCAAAGTGCCATAGCATGGGCTTAAGCTGGCTGAAGGCCGGCATGGTCATGCACATTATCTGTTTACAAGTCTTGTGAGTTGAACTACAATGCAACTACACCAAAAGTAGGACCCTCTCTTTGCTTATTTTCTCTTCTCCTTTTTCCTTCCTTCCTTCCTTCCTTCCTTCCTTCCTTCCTTCTTTTCTTTCTTTCTTCTCCTTTTGTGTTTGTGTGTGTGTATGGGTGTACTGGAGATTGAACCTAGGGCCTTCACTGAGCTACATCCCCAGTCCTTTTAAATTTTAAAATAGGGTCCCACTAAGCTGTGAAGTTGCTCAGGCTGAGCTCGAGCTTTTGATCCTCCTGCCACAGCCTCTCAGAATAACACTGGCAGAGGTTTCCACTGAGGAATTCACTGACTGTCCCAGATAACCAGCTGTGTCCACTGGGAGCACTTGGCTTACCTGAGAGATGGGAAGTTTGCAGGAGGTCCACTCCACTCCTGCAGAGCCCAGATCCATTCCCACTGCTCTGCTTGAGGGTCTGAGTTGTCACAGCTGCATGTTTATAATTGTCAGATCCCTGCTGGGAGAGCTTACAGTGAGGCTGGAGAACCATGTAGAGGTTGAAAGAACTGGGGTGCCTAGGGCCGGGCAGGTTGGCAAGCACCCTGTGAGCCAAATTGTCACCAAGACGGCAGGAGCATTTCTGCAAGATGGGCCTTGGCTGAAACTGAAAAGGCGGCCAGCTCCCTTTGCACACCTAAGACCTCAACTTCCGGTAGTGCACAAGGTTCCTAAGCAAGTTATTTACCAACAGCTTGCTTAAACCATCTATCTCTCATTAAAGAGCATGGCAGGCGGGTCACAGCTGTGCCAGTGGCTGTTGTTTTACAGCACGTGTAACATGTACTCCCAGGCTTCCTCCAAAATGCTCACATCTTCTACACTTGAAACTCTGCTGTGGAGACCCAGGGGTCACCCTGAGGTATAGGTTTCAGGTGTAATCTGTGACAAAAACCAATGGACTAGAGGAGCTGGGGTTGGACAGGGAGCTGCTTCTTTATAGTTTGCATACCCTGCCCCTCAGGGGCCTTAGAAACTTGTCTGAGAATGTGCTTTTTGCCCTTCTGTCCTCAAATACTTCCCCATCTCTTGTATTCTTTTTGTTAATTAATTTAGTATTTGAAATTCCCTGGCTGCACAATCTGACCTTCCTTGTCAAATGAATCAGACACCAAGAGAAAGGTCCCCCCCCCTCTTTTTTTCTTCATGTGAGGGGCTGAATCCAGGGTTTCAAGTGTACTAAACACACGCTCTACCACTATTACACCCCAGCCTCTGACCCCCAAAGTTTCACCCATGCTGTTCTCAGGAGACACCCCCAGGCAGGATGGACCACAATCTGAGCCAGGGTGACAATGCTTCCTGTTCTGGTGGGGCAGTACTGGGTCAGAATACTGGCCTTCAAGCCATAGGCACTGGGTGGTAGCTGAGAAGGACAGCAGGTCCCTGAAGAGCTGGCACCGAGCCCAGTAGGAATCTCAATGCCCAGGCTTCTCAAGCCCACTGTAGCTATCCTGCACGTGAGAGTCCAGAGCACAGCAACAGCGGCCAAGAGCCAGACTGCAATGCTGGAGCAACTGTGCCCTTCGCTCACAGTGTGTCCTCTCATCCAGCTCTGAGATGGGACAAAAGACTGTCGTGCATGGTCTGCAACTTGACTGTGATAGTTTCCACGCATGCATGTGGACCACATTGTTCTCTCTCCTGGCAGATCTTTGGCTCAGCGTGGTTTGGCTCTCATATCCCTGGCTGGCTCCTACAGGCCTCCCCGCAGCTCTGCCTTGGCCTGATTAATGCAGCCCAGATTTCCCCCAAGATGCCCGGGGAGCAAGGGTTTAAGTCATCCTAGCAGCCTAATTGATCACTTCTATTCCTCCTTTGCTTTCAACTTCCTGTTTACTGCTTCTTCCAGCTTATACAAAGCCATTTGCAGCCACACGATGTTTAAGATTTTCTTCATTCAGGGACAGCCAAGACACAAAACCAGAGTCTGCCTAGGAAAACAAAAGAAGCAGTGGCTCCGGGAGTGGCTGGGCTCTGGGAAATGTCCGATTCCCCTGTTGCGGGGGTGGCTGCCAACCGCTTTGCCCTTCGATGTGATGATTGCCAGTTATTAAGCCTGTCTGGTGGAGGGGCAGGCCATGTGAGGAACAACAGTTATAAAGGGAGATAAATGGCTCCTGGGGCCTGAGAACTGCGCAGACTAGGAAAAAAAGAAAAAAAAAATCCCCTGTACTCATTTACAGTTCATAGCCAGGAGGATAAACACCAATTAATTTGCAAACAATTACCATTTGGAGATGATTAAAAAAAATTAAATGTCACTGGAAGAAAAGTTTACACAGAAACCGTGTGATCCTTTGCTGGGAACATTTGCAAATTTCTTTTCAGTGGTCTCCTGAAGCACAATTTGGCGACAAGAGTCCATGACAGCTCTCCCAGGGGAGTTTTTTCTTTTTGTTTTTTTACAACAACTGAGACGGTGGTTCTCAAACCAGGGCAATTTCTCCTCTCATCATTATTTCACTCCCCAACATTTGGTCCTTTCAGTAGACACTTGGGTTGTCATCCTGAGGGAGGGGCAAGTACTATCACCAACCGGGGCACAGAGGTCAAGGGTACTGTGACAACGGCCAGCAGAGCCCCCTACCTTAAAATGTGCTGGCCCCAAATGTCAACTGTGCCAAGACTGAGAAAAAGATTAGTGAATAGGTAGGTGTCTTGAAACAGAAAGAAACAAAGCTGCGTTGGCTTTCAATTCTAACTTTCTACTGAAAGAAGCCAGGGTACATAGGCAAGAGGTCCGACTAGGAAGTCCTGGAATTTCTGGAAACATAAGACTGAGAGGTTTATGGAATTGAAGTTCCAGTTTTGGTGTAGTCAGAATGTCCCGAGGGTCTTCTGAAGTCCAGGTGAAAACAGGCACCCTTCACTGTAGATGGTGGACCCAATGTCTATGTGTGTGCAGCTGCTGCCCTCTAGAGGGAGAAATGTGGGGCCTGGTTACCAGCATTGCACCTCAGGATGGGCCCAAGGTCCCTTCCACACTCTAGTGGTAGCTAGGAAGAACCCAAGCTTTATGGATGGAGACTGGTCTCAAGTTCCATGTGCTAACAGCAACAGACCTCAAACCTCAGAACCTCTCAGCCTGTCACGTCCTTTGTACTCCATGGGCTGGGGGACTGTCAACAGAAAATGGGTGAGCAGGCACTCTAAGCACAAAAGCGTCACAGAGACAGACAAATGCACAGTTTTCTCACACCTCAGGAATTCTATTGCCAGCCACATCCAATTGTTACCAAATGGTTACTGAGAGCCTATGGACATGACAACATCTACAGTGGGCAGAGAAAAAGAATGAACCTCAATGAATAGCATATAATTTCAGGCAGTATAAAGCAATGGGGTGGGTTGGGGAGACAGAGGCCACTTTCAAACATGTAAGGTAGACGGAGAAGGGCTTTGTATGAAGAGGTCCCATGTGAGACACAGAAGAAGGAAGTTGCCTTGTGGACAGAGCTACCTTTGCCCAAGGTAACAGGGGCCCCTGCCCTGGGCCTTGGGATTTCTAAAACCCCAGGCACCCTTGTTACTCAACACTGCTCAGGCTCCAGACAGATTTCTCTGCCACCTTGTCCCAAAGCCATCAGGGTTGTAGGTTGTGGTGTCACCACAGTCAGAGACAGACAAATATACGTTAGCATGGAGGAAGTGCTTAGGTAAAAGAAAGGATGGATGAATTTATTCAACCAGATGGCATCCATGCAATAGGTGATTATAAATGACTGCATAAAGAGTTCTTTCCTAGAATTCTGAGCACCCTCTAATTTTTACTCTTCTTTGTGTTTTGGAGATGCTCATGCAGTAGAACAGTATTTGTGACATGTGCACATGGAGTATAAGGAACATTTTGTGATGTTAAATGGTTCATATTTTTAAAAAATATGTATGTGTGTTGATTTAGCTGAGATGCTCAAAGCATAACAATTCTTTACCTTGATAATAAGATGGACATTAAACACTAAAACTGAGACAATTTAAAGGGCTATAGATTTAGTTCACTGGTAGAACATGTGCTTAGCATGCACAAGGTCCTGGGTTCAATCCTCAGCACAAAAATAAATAAATAGATATAGTTTAGCTAACTTTTCCAAAAAAGTATTCCAGCTTTATTTTAAAAATTCTTATTTAAATTTTTCACATTCACTAATTTAAATTTGCATTTGTTTAATTATAATTTTAAATACTTGATAAAAGTAACTTTTTATATTCTCAGTTTTATTTTAATGATAATATATTCTCAATATATTTAAATTTTGTACATTTTGAGAACAATAGCCTTTTAAAACTTTTCTATCATTCTTTTTTTTTTTGAGACAGGGTCGTGCTCTGTAATTCAGGCTGGCCCCAAACTCATGGCGATCCTCCTGCCTTAGCATCCCGAGCGCTGGGAGCATGCACCACGATGTCTGTCTCTTTATTTACTTTTTCTTTTTTTCTGTAGTGGGGATCAAAACTTTACACTGAGATACATCCCCCAGCTCTTTTTTTTTTTAATTTCTTATTTTGTGTCAGGTTCTTCCTAAGTTGCCCAGACTTGGATTGGCTTGAACTTCTGATCCTTTTGCTGTCACTCCCAGAGTGAAAAGTTTCCAGGCATGTGTCACCATGCTCAGTTTATCATTCATCTTAAGGTATAAATTATCTGAGAATTAATATTAATGATTTCATGTAAATGAAAGCAAAAGTAAACATATAAATATATGCTATAAAAATGTTATAAACATATAAGTTAATATTGTGTGTGTCTATATTTTATTACTCATTCAAATATAGCAAAAATAGAACACTCAATAATAAATTTAGTTGTCCTTTCTATTTTATTTAGAACCATAGAAACTATATATACTTGCACATAGTTTTCAATTTTGTTATTATGAGGGATTTGTCATGGTGGAAGGATAGAACATATTTTATACCACAGTTTTAGTGCTATTTATAACTTTTAGTATTTGGAGATATGATATACAGGCTTCCATTTACACTGTTGTCCTGGAGCCCTGCTAATGTAGGGGTGAACCTGGATGAAGATCTGGGAAAAGAGGCAATAGCGCGTTCCAAGGCCCTGAAATAGTCACATGCTGGGAATGTTTGAGAGGACCAGAGTGGCAGGGACCTGGTAGATGAGGCTGAGAGGTGGCAGGGCCTGGTCATCATGGCAAGAACTTTGGATCTTCTTGTCCTAGTAATGGAAGCCCATAAAGTTTAAATTGAGGATGCCTCTGGTTGCTGTGTAGAGAATGACATTGAGAGGAGCAAGAGTAGGGCTGGGGCCTGGTTAGATGTTTGCCTTAGTTCTGACGAGATGACACTGATTTCTCACTTGAGTTTGGCAGTGGAGGTGCTGAGAGGTGATCAGATTGGGAATATATTTGCAGAGGTGACAGGACTGATGGTAGATTGAGTGTTAGTGACGGGGAAAGGATTGTTCTATGTGGCTGCATGGATGGCAGAAGGAAGTCTAGAGAGAGGGTCAGGAGAGACAGAGTGCCTTGTAGTGTCCATGGGAGCTGCTTCAAGGACCAGTCTCAGATGCAGACTTAACCTTTAAATAGTTCTGGGAGGAAATTACAACATTCTTTCCTGTGTGGGGTTAATTGAGAAATCCTGGGACAGGATTTCTCAACGGACACTGAGATCTGCCTGTATTCAGGAGAGAGACTTTGAAGGCTGAGTAGAGGAGCCTGAGCCTTCAATTGACCAACTTGAGTTATAGTCAGCACTCATGAAGGAATTGAGTTTGTAAGTCAAGGGTCCACTGTACTATGCAAATATTTGTCATACTGTATTAAGAGATAATGACATACAAAGTGTCTGTACTTATTGGGTACAGAAACAATTATTTTGGAAATATTTTCTATCTGTGGTTGGTTAAACCCATGGATGTGGAATCTATGGATAGGAGGACCAATTGTACAGTATTGGAACAGAAGTTCTGCCTTTGTAGACCTGTGTGAGTTGCTGATAACGGCTAGGGAGAAACTAGCAAAGCAGGAGCAATTTTTCTGTAGTATGGTACCTTCCTCCATCCCTATCAACAGCTTGCAGGGTTCGCTGGAGCTTATCACTCATATGCCAGCCAGAGCCCCTGCCATTCTAGTATCCTGTCAACTACTGGTGAGAGGTTTTCACAGATAAGTGGGGTGTCACCTGCTAAGTTCCTCACTAGCCTTGAAATACTGTGATTATAAGGTGATGAAATGGGGCCTAGAAGAATGTGAATTTTCAAAGACTTCTTTTTCCCCTCCTTCTCTTCCTCTTCCTCATTTCCTTGTGGTGCTGGGGATTGAACCCAGGGCTTTTGCACTCATCTGCATCCTCACCCCTTGTATCAGTCAGTGCTCACTAGAGAAACAGATTTACTATAAGACATATAAATACATAATGATTGAGAGGTAGGCTTACCATGGCCACCTGCAGAGTGCGAAAGGGCTGTCTGTATGCTGGAAATCTGAAGGATCCAATCAAACATACAAGGCCTGGAGCTCATGTAGTCCCATGTGAGTCCCTGAAGCTGAAGAGTCTGTGTTGGAAGGCAGGAGATGGGTCCAAAGTGAAGGCGAAGACTGGAACTCCTCTGAAGAAATGGAAGTGAGCCTTCCTTCTTGTTCCCCTTTTGTCCTAGCCAGGCTACAAGCCTATTGGTTGGTGCCACTCACAGCCAAGGTGGGTCTTCTGTCTTCAGTAGATCTATTTAGCTGCTCCTAGACCTGTGCTAATCTGATTAGTCGGACGTGTCTCACTCAAGTTGACACAAGAGTTAACTATCATACCCCTTTTTCATTTTTTATTTTGAGGCAGAGTCTTGCTGATCCTCCTGCCTCAGCCTCCCAAGATGCTGGAATTACAGGCAAATGTCACCATGCCTGGCACAAAGAGGACTTCTTGAAGGCAGAAAAGCAATCAATCTGTAAAAGTGGAAGTGTTTGTTCAACAACCTTCCAGGTGGCCACCACTCACTCTGCTGGCATCACTGTGTCGTTATCCACAATCCACATCACATATATGTCCTGTTTTTAGAACTAAAAGTTTGTTTAGATGTCATCATTCATTCTGTAAACTCACAGCTTTTTTGCACTCAAGTAAAGTCACAGGATATCAGTATAAGAAGGAACTTTGAGCCTGGACTACATAGTGAGATCAGATTTGAAGCCAATCTGGACTTATAGTGAGTCCCTGTCTCAAATAAACAAACAAACAAACAAACAAACCAGAGAAGAAGGAACTTCAGAGGTCAGCTGCTCGATTTATCTCCCCTATAAGGACAGAGGGGCTTAGACTACCCGTGAAGGTCATTGGTCACACAGTTGGCAGTGGACAGATATGGGCAGGACCCAGGCTTTGAAGCTTTCAGAGCAGTGTGCTTTGTACAAGTGTAGCCTCTGCCCCAGGGTGGAGGCAATAGGTCGTTCAGGGCAAGTCCCTGTCATTGAAATAAGTCTCAGTTTTCTTCACAGTGGCTGCACATTTATGTCATTTTCTCTGATATAAAATTGTATGCCTCTCATGAGCTTGAAGCTTTCTAGTAAATATAATATCAGTCTCCACCATCGTTAATTCAGTCAGACACATGAGTGCCTATTTCGCGGTAAGCCCTGGGACACTAAGAACAGAAAAGACAGGATGGGTGTGGAGACACTGATGTTGTCCAAGGAGGCACCAAGTCCTGGTGTTTCGATGGCATTGTTTGTGGCATCACATGGGATGACCCAACCCTGACAGAAAAGGAAGAGCAGGTTGGGCATGGCGTCCCCCATGGAGAGACAAACAGGAACCAAACACATGAGAGGAAGTGGTGGTGGAGAGGCATCAGGGAAAGGAGCAGTGTGTACAAAGAAAGGCAAAAAAGGCAGAAGAGCTACAGGAACTCATATCTGACTGGAGCACAAGAGGGAGGGGAGAGCGAGAAACAGGAGGCTGTGGTGGTGGCCAGGATGGGCTCCCTGTCATCCAGGTGGTGATTCGAAATCAGCCCTCAAACTGGCATCAGAGTGGGCAGCCTCCTCCCTAGGGCAGGAGCTGCATTCAGAGAATCTGTCTGCTGCTTCCTTCAGCCCTACTTCTCCCAGGGCAGAAGTTTTAAATAGGCCATACTTCCAGAGTGAGACTCAGGACAGTGTTAAATTGTAGGGATGGGTTAGGCCGGGGGTTTAGCTCAGTGGTTTCGTCGCCTGCTGCGCAAGTGCAAGGACCCAAGTTTGATCCCCAGTACCAAAAAAAAAAAAACCCAAACAACAACAACAAAAATATATACAAAATTTTAGGGATAGGTGGAAGAGGAGCCACAGAGGAGCTGTGCATGAGCAGGACCCTCCTTTTTATCACAGTCACACCTGCCTCAGCCACCTCCTTCCGTGTCTTCCTTTGCCTTACCTGGTGAGTCATCAGCCTGAGTAAGATCCAGAGTGCAGCAATCCAAGTCTATCCACTAGGGTGGCAGATGCTCAGCAGAAGACCAAGCTTGTCAGTCCCAAAGTATTTCTCAGGTCTGAGGTGCTTCATATGGATTGGTTGAATGGGTCATATGATATGAATGTACTAATGGGGCTCTTCCTCTGGGCTTTCTCCACTTTAGCTGCAGCAGGTACAGCTAAATGGGAAGAGAAGGGTCTCCTTCATGTGCAGCCCACACAGTGGCTTCCTTCACCTCCTGTCCCTACACTTTACTATCCTTGATTCTCACTGTGGCCACTTCACCAAATCTTTCTAAAGCAACTGCTCTGGGCTAGGTACTAATGGGGGGCAGCCCTAGGGGTCCAATAGCAGATAGGTAACATGACACAATAATTACCATTGGTATATCAAATCCCATTGGGCTGGAGGAGCACCTTGTGATCAAACACATAAGCCCTTTTGCAGTGAACTGTAAGGGTACTCACACTAAGTGCAGTAATGTGTGACTTCAGTTCAGATCAGGCCCTACTATCATGTGAGTTCCAAAATGCTTCGTTGGGTTTTTACAGTGTGGAAGTTTGAAAATGCAGATAAAGCATTGTGGAGCTGTGAAACCCTCACCTTGTGGGTACAGTAATGGAGGTTGAGAAAGGGAAGTCATGTGCCCCAGCTCACTCTGCTGAGGAGAGAAGCCCAGGTCAGGATACAGCCATGACCAAGGCCAAAGTCCGTGGTCTGTCTTTCCACTGCATAATTCTAGACCACTTTCCTGTTGTCTCAGACAGAAAGCAGTAAATGGCCATCCCCTAGGTCTTCAGCTGCAAAAAGCAGAAAGACCTTGGGAAAGAATAGTATTTTTCTCTGGAACGACAATGCCTCCATCTACTGGACATTTATGAGAATGACTTCCATCCCCCAGAGTTGACTCCTGGCAAGGAGCGGAAGCTGAATACTTTGCTTCCTGTAACTGGCCAAATGATATTTCAGGAGCCAGAAAGCAGCTACTAAGTTGCTTCTGCATAATCTGTTTCAAAACATTAGTAACCACAACAATAAAAACAATATTAACAGTGGAAGTTGGTTGCCAGCAATTCAGTAACAAAAATGCCAGTCTCACTTTGGCCATTGCCTCCAGAGCCTCCCTTCTAAAGCACAAACCTTTCAGCGTTTCCCCACTTATTACAGACGTCTCCCTCTGGCCACAACTGCTGCCCTAGTTTGCCACATCACATATGCTTCACCTGTGTCAGGTAGTTACTGTACCTGTGTGTCCCGATACAACATCCAAACTGCCTACTGCACTAGTTTGTTTGCTTCCCCTTGCCAGACTCTGAGCTCCTGCACCTTGCAGCTGGAATAAAGTCAGAGTCTACTCATTTTTGAAAAATAAAAATTAGAATGAATTTTTTCATTAGCAGAAGACAATAAAAAATTCATTCATTAAGTACAAATATAGTAATTGTTGTCAAGCTTCTAGAAGATCTCAATTATATATAAGGTGCAAATGTTTAAATTAAAAGATTTATTACAATAACAGACTTGCTGTCATTAATTCCCTTCAAACACTTCTCACTTTAAACACAGTTCATTGTTTTTGACACTGTCTGAAGCAGTTCTAGATGTTTTCTTTCCTTCATTATGAGATGTAATGAAAAACACAGTCAGTGCTGGGGCGCAGTGCCATCCAATGGAAAGGCAGGCTTGTAAAAACATTACAGTGTGTTGCTGGGGACTTAGCTCAGTGGTTTCACCGCCTGCTGCGCAAGCGCAAGAGCTCGAGTTCGATCCCCGGTACCAAAAACAAAACAAAACATTACGGTGTTTCCCCATCCACCTTATTCACTATGTCTGGCACCATGCAATTTCTGGCTTTTCCACAAAGTCAAAATGACCATGGAAGAGAAACATTTTGAATCAATTTAGGACATCAGGGCAGCCAGTCCAGCACAACTAAAGACACTCGTGAGAGAGGACTTCTAGAACTACTTTACAAAGTGGCAAGAATGATGGTTATTAGTATGTTTGAAGACAAGGGGGAGATTTGAGAGACATTAAGGGCAAGGTGGCTTTAACTGTAATAATTAAAATTTTGAAACATTCATCATATTTTTCAATCATACCTTGTGCTTTAAAAGTCCTGTTTTGAATATGGATTTTAGTAGTGGGAAGAATGGAAAGAGGTTGGACATACTCATTCCTGTAAAGAAGAGAGATCTTCAAAGCAAGTGATACTCACAATATTGGGATAATGTGTTCTCTAAGAGATGGACCTTCCCTGGACTATCCCACATCATCTTTCCTTTTCTTAGTGTCTTGAATCTCTCAAAATAAACTCTCATAATAAATAGCAATGAAACAAGAAACTAGACCTGGAATATGGCATGTTGGAGCTTGGGATAGATTACAAAATAAACAGATACAGTTCTTTTTTCAGGCATATGTTTTGTTTTTGCAACAGCTTTATTTAGAAATAATTCAAATACCATAAGTTCGCCAAGTTATAATGTGCACTTCAGTGGTTTTCAGTATATTCACGAAGCTGTGCAGCCATTTCCACAATCAATTTTAAAACATTTTTATCATCCTCAAAAGAAACTGTGCCCTTTAGCTGTTGACTCCCACCCCAACTCCGCCGCACCTTCTGCTTCCGGCAACCACTAATCTATTTTCTAACTATAGATTCGCCCTTTGTGAAAGTTTCCTAGAAAGGGAATCATGTATGTGTCTTCTATGACTGGCTTCTTTCATTTAGCAAAATGAGTTCAAAGTTCTTCTATGATGTAGGATATATGAGCACTTCCTTTCTTTTCATGCCTGAATAATATTCCATTATATGGATGCACCACAATTTGTTTATTCATTCATCAGTTGATGAACATTTGGGCTGTTTCTCCCAGCAGCTATTATGCATAATGTTACTATGAAAATTTGTGTACAAATTTTTGTGTAGATGGATTTTTGTTTCTCTTGGATATACACTTACAAGTGAAACCACTGGATGAAATGATACAAGTATGTTTATTTCTCTCCTTACTAAATTACAAACATCTCGTGATCTCCTACTCAGTTCTATGCACACCATTGTTCATTAAATATTCATTAACTACAATGAGTACATGGATGATATTAGCCATTCTAACATGGAACATCATAGGGAATTGTAGGACAAAACAGGCATCATGAATAACATGAATTTTGTTTTTTAAAAAAGTGAATCAACCCAG